CCGATTTCGGCTCCCAACAATCCATTTGGCTTTCCCCGCTCGGACGTTACACGGGTAGTTGATTGTGATGGGTTCGCGTGAAGCAAGTGAGCTCGGTCGTGATGCCGCCATAATTATAATGGAACTCAATAAAGGTATTGTTCTTATGGTTTTCACATTAATTTAGGACTTTCTTCTACTAATCTTGGTGAACAGTGCAAGGCTATTGCAGAATTTCCAACGCTTATTCTGAAATATCCATTTCCTATGGTGATAAATTCGATATTCCTGAAAATATCGGAACTCTTTCGCGAGGGGTTAGAACTCTCTTCATTAATATTATTTAATTAGGAGCAATTACCTGAGACTCTGTGTTCTGCGGGCATGCACCGAATGCCGTTTTCAACTAGAAATGCTAACAGTATCCGAAGATGTAGCAAGAAAACTCCTTCCACTTACATCGAGCAATGATCCTGCTGCCAGAGCATTAACGTTAAGGTATATCGTTTCTTTCCTTATAGGTTTAGATTCTTTGGGCTTCTATGCCGCATCTTCCAACATAATGTCAGCGTCCATCACATAGTTATGGCGAAATTAGAATCGCATTATGAAGTCGAACTTGATGCAGCTTTGTGGACAGCTCATGAACTGATGTCAATTTCTAAGTATTTTGAATTTGTTTTTATTGAAGATCCTTTGCCATCCAATTGTGCCCAGTAATATGTGGCCTCTTACAGAACCCAACAACAGAAACAGATACGAAGTTTAAGCTTATTTCTTTATGTCGTTATGCCTACCATGACGTAGTTTCCCTGCCGAAGGTACTGATATAATAACCGGCTTTTATATATAGTTACGAAGTTGCCTAGTGCAGCTGGTAGAGTCGTACAAAGTGTCGAATTTCGTGAAGGCTGCATTCAGGACGCTAACAAGTTTAACTATGCGGGTACCGATTCACACTGGTGAACAGGTTAGTTAAAATAACAATCCACCTGATTTTGTATGTCTCATATCTGGCTAAAATTTAAACGCTGCTTATTTTGAGCAATTTTTCGTCGTTATTTTTTGGTACCGCACTCAAGGTCTCATTTCTCTATTTGCAGGTGGACTATATTTTACAGTTTTTGTGCAAAGAAACCAGGCTGGATGTCAAATTATGTCTTCTCTCGGATCTTTCGCAAATAGCAGGTTGTCTACCAAATCAATGGAGTGCCTCACAAGTACACGTACGTATATTGCTTCCTTAAGTTGTCTTACTTTCTCACGTTCTCCAAATACCATCCGTTGCGTGTCCTTGTTAAAGTCCTACAGGCTTCAGTTTGCCTTAGGTTGTTCGGAACCTCATTCTATTTACGTAATCCCTTTCTGCTCGAAGTAATTTGTCGCCTTATCTAAATTAATGATATTTAATTCTTGCGTTACTGATGCAATATTGGCACAGTGTACGCCGAAATTACAAGACGGTTACTAAAACCGTTCAATATATCCTCAAACGGAAAAAATGCTTACGTAAGATTTAAAGCGCCGATTAACACTGGATGTAATCTGGGCCTCGCTGCCGTCCTGAAATATCACGGCCTATCATCACGAATGGAGGCGCATATGCGGGGTCCAGGTTCTTGTTGCAAAGAACGTAAAGGCGCGATTACCGGAACAGTAGTTGTATTTGGCTGAGCCTTCGACTTTGTACCATCCTCAGAGACAATGAAAATGCAGTAAAAATTGACCTGTTTTGTGTTCCAGCTACGAGAAGAAATGGGAGTGGGGGTAAGGAGGAGTTGGTAGCACTCCTGATCGGTTAAGTCCACTTTCATATCGTCTCAGCGTGCGTCCTTTGGTGGGAACTAAACCGCGCGAAAGAAGGGCATGATAGCGAGGGGTAGGTGTCTCAACATGTCAGATACTCAGACCCCCAGTAGTTCTCGCCCCGCCTTGTTACTCGCTCGCTACATTATCCGTGTACCCGTGAAGTTGAATTCGTGACCTTCTTCCAGGGTGTGGGTAGCCATATGAGACAGTAAGCCGCCTTCCGGCACCGCCCGTTTGTGCTCTATTATTAGCGAGCCAAGTCGTCACCCGGTCACCCTGCGTAATGGCGAGAGCAGTCGCGACATGGTAATTGATAAACGAAAAAAGGCATCTCACATACCTCAGTCTTTTATTTGCATGATTCGCGAGCGCATGGTGGCTGTTGGACAATGGGTGCTACCTGCACCGAGCTCCGCAGCGATACGTTTTATTGCTTCTGAAGCATTCTTTATGTAAGGTAGAGGGTGCCAAAATGTTACTAGCCCTCCTTTTTTTCCATGGGCGCGTACGGAGACAGCGGCTGACGAAGCGGTTCGAATGCCCATTCCTTGTCAGTTGGTCCCGAATATTCCGTAATTCTCGCTCTCATCCCTCAGGTTCACTGCCCTCTGCCCTCAGGTTCACTGCCTTCTACCCTCTGAAAGAGTGCTTTAATACAGCCTCGTTTGTGCGCCATTGGGTAGTTGCTATGGTAGTTGAACACCTGCGTTGTGTTAGTCGCCTTTCTATACACCGTAGTGCCGAGTTCTCCATTGGGTCTGTGTCTGACGATATCGTCCAGACAGGGCAGTCGTTCGGCGTTCCCTTCTCCCCTTGTGAATTGGCTGTCTAAGAAGATGCTATTAAGCAGGCTTTGTAACTCTGTTTATCTGTCCCGTTCGATTATAACGAAAGTGTCGTCCACGTATCGGCACAAGAACGAAGGCTCCTACTGGTTGAAGACGACTTTTTAAGCTCTTATAAGACCAGTTCTGCGATTAGACTGGACATTGGAAAACCGATCGGCGTCCATTTGCTCTGTTCAATTGAGGTTTAAAAATGTCTTTGACAGAAAACAAAGAGTTGCATGAGATATTTGATTTTTAGAGGACCCCTCGTTATTTTCCACCGAGTTGCTGTATAAAAATGAGAATCGCACTTCACGAGGAACCTGCTCCTCCCGGTGATGATAAATGAATGAATACAATGTTAAGTTTGTCATCTGGAGCAGGGTTTAAAATGTAAAGCTTTCAGAGGTATTTCCCCTTTATCAAAAAGTTCGTTGGCGACAATGATCATCCCTTTCTTATGGCAAAAACCACCGCCCTTGATCATGGAGATCGCATTCCGGGAAGAGCTTTGCCACAGTCATCAGTGTTTGCTCTCTTAGCGTGAACTATAACACGAAGGCTTCTAGGCAGATCCGCACGTGCCCAGCGTTTTTGTAACCACGTACGATTGTAATTTTGTCTGCCGCAAACTGCTAGGGCCAGCACTGACTTGAGGAGATCGTACATTCACAATTTTTAATAGTAAAACAGTAAAAATGCTAAAGATGAGCTTGGGCCTAGTAACTGCAAAGACCGAGACTATGCCTACGCGAATTACGGCATAGTGGCTTCCGAATATTCTCGAACCAGTCTTTACTGAAGAGGTCTTTGGCGGAGGGCCATAATGCCCGTCCACCCCCCTTCGTTCTCCAATTCCCGCGGCCGTCAACGTCATTTTTCTTTGCAGGCGGCTGTTCCACTTGGTGACCTGAAGACCACTTGACCGATACCCACTCACTCATTCACACACGTGCTCCACATCCGCGCATACACGCGCTTCCACATAAGCACGCCTGCCTAAGCGCCACTCGAACACGACAAGCCGCGGTCACGTAGCAGGTGGCCTTTGCAGGCAACATCCGCTCGGGCAATTGCAAAACACCAATAACAGAACACTTGAACTTGCTTCATAATCCTACTTAAGCAACTGTCATCACTCCACACAACATACAGTCGACACTCTCAGGCCTGGCTGGAGGCCTGGCTTCGCCAGTGGCCACTGCTACCTGAGATTGCAACTGGAAGTTCTGTATACTATAAACCCCTCATTATGGTTACTACTGCCCTTTAACGTCCAACCTGGGATTCGACCTGATGATTGCAGTGATCTAGGCACAACCACTACTTAGACCGCTACAAGTCTCTTATTCCACATAAATATGAGGGCCATTAACGCCTGAGCCTGGGGCTGAAATGAATCCGAGTTATTCCATTAGTCAGCCCTCTCGCAAACTACGATTTCTAGCGCCTACTTAGATTATGATTTGACCCAGCTGTTGATAAGGTTAGAGACCTCCGCCCAATCCGTATTACATGGAAACACCTATACGTATGGTGCGTTGGACATCATTGCCGATACTGACAAGCTTCACCGCGCAATTGTTATGTGGATGATGGATACTGTTTGGGGGATCTTTGTCCTATATGCTTTAATAATCGAGTGAGTTCTTGCAATATCTTTATGTGCAGGCAAAACATAAACGGGCATGAAAAACATGACGGATACAGCTTGCAGCTTTAAAAATGGTTATACTGTTGTACTGCTACGACTTTCCGGTTGTCCGTTCAAGCCAACGGTTTTGTTTAAAAGCCAAACGTCCATCCGACGGGAAGATCCAATAGTGCGTTTTAGTGAGCGTTACAGCGTGTGCAAGTCCTGGTTTTGTAGCTATTACATCCATCACATCTCACGTCCGAGCCAGATTTCCAAAAATAGGTGAGTAGGTGTGGAAGATTTATTACGTGAATTATTTGTGAGGTGCGGAGTGGGTACATCACGCCCACATTGCGATTTATACGAGGGTGTTTATAGGGTCAACCTGAGCTTCAAATCTGTGTTGGAAGTTGTCAGGAATCATCTCAGGCACTATTCTTGCGTGCTTATTACTTTGCCTTGGTAGTTGCTGTCATATATATGGCTGATCTTCTACTTGCCGATCCTCTGCAAGTTTCCCATGATTTATGGTTGACTTCAGGATATTAGGGGGAGTCTTCAAGGCATACTTGTCATTGTTTTATCTTGAAAATGTACAATTCGTGACATCTTCGAAGCTGTCTGCATGAGGCATTAACACATCTGTACTGTGTAAGCAACAAGACGTTCAACCGTCTGAATAGTTTTCCTAGCGCCTATGCATCTGTCATACTTCCGAACCTTTTTGAAACAGAAATGCTTCGTTTCTTCATGCACTACAAGACGATCATAGATAATGGCGTGTTAAGTCACTTGGAGGAAGTATTATTGTGGTTTTATGAACCTTGAAACCATTGGGAAAGCATGCACCATTTATTTAGTGGCATTTTTAATCGCTTGCTGTATAGAGATGACCAAAAAGGTTTGGAGTTTGGTGGCACGTCTTCCAATTGCGAATTTCTATAATCGTAGTAATGCTTTAAGGCTGATGAAAACGCCATTATTATTCCACATTCCTGTTGAGCGTCCTACCACATTAACACTATCAGCTGTATACTTTAGGTTTTTTTACTTCTGCGGCTTCACAGATTTCGTTGGTTCCACTGAACTATCCAAATGTACCAACCTTACCGTGAAGTCAGAAAACCTGCGATTTGCCTGCTTTATATTTTACTAGCATTCCCCATTTAGTCTTTCTTGTTTTCCGTATTTTAGCGGTTGTGCAAGTTATTCGGCTCAAGTTCGTGCATTTCTGAAAAGGAGGAAATCTTCGTCATCTTCTTCAAACTGACCGAGTCCTGTAATTTTGTGGACCTATTACTGCATCCTGATGAAACCAGCACAGGTATGCTTGCTTTGATTGCAAGTGACCAATAATGAGTCGATCAAGCACATCATATTTATGAACGGTAAAGTCGCTGGTACCATCGTCGTAATTGCGACAGCAACTACCATCCTTGTGGCGACTGTTGTAGTTACCATTCTCAAAATTATCACTTCATTCTACAGGCCCTGAAACTCCCAAAATAAATTGGGTTGGGGATTAGAAACCGACAGCATCGCAAACCAATCGTTGGTTTGGCAGGTTTACCTGCCAAACGGCTTCGTCCAACTTCACATTTGCTGGGAATGCGCCCATTCTCACGATCATTCTGTTAAGAGACGCCTAACAAATAGATAGCCTGCGCAAGCAGCCGTGCTCACAGTAGGTTATCGATCGGCCTACAGGCAGCGAACTCAACTCGCAGTCACATCAATCGATA